CACATATACAAAAACGATATGACTAATTCAGTCTGGATTTTAAACAATAATCAAAACTTTTGTGTAAAATATTGCAAGACAATTATGCTACGTAGCATACTAACCAGAAATTACTCTATTTTTAATTTTTTTCTCACATTTTATATAGCTGCTACTTCATAACAATTTATATTAATCATTCAGAGTGTATAATGATATATGTTATGCATAGTATAAAAGATAGCTAAGAGTTTAGTGCCTACACAATATATCACATTTTTATAAGATACGGAGTAAGGTCTATTTACATACTTCCGAATTAGGGACCAGATTAAAGCACATTTTTTACGCTGCTTTAGTACATATAATTGTTAGACAATAATCATATGTTCATAAATTTACTCTGGCAGAACGGACCCATTGCAGAAAGATATATATAAGATATATATCGATCTTGATAACTGATATCGTATCAATCTTTAATCTGTACCGAGATAGTACCGAAGAATAAAAGAATATCCTCTATCTTATAGAAATAAAATCTAAGATAATATTACTAAGAAAACAATTATATCTTAACAAAAGCTCTGCAAAGAGGATCACAAGTGTAATGAGTATTATTCAAAAACTTATTATATCACAACAGTCTTTGTCAATACTGTAAATTAGAATGTAATATGAAACACACTCATATATTCAATAAATACCCATAGATATTACGCTATATATTTTGTATAAATATTCATTGTCATTATCGACAAAAGTTATTTAAATACAGAATAGGATTACAGTGATCAATCGTTAAAAGACCAAAAAGTAACGATCAAGAAAACCTGCAGACCACAGATTGTACACAACAATAGACTACATTTCCTCTTCTTGTTTTAGAAATATCTCTAAAAATGCATAAATTACATTAAGATTTCATCTACGTTATACGCATACGGAGCATTAAATAAATATTATGAACTTACTTCCGGATAATCGTCTCTTCTGACATTTGCGGGATAATAATCAACGATTAATGGACGCGGACGTTGGCCGATGCCAGCGGGCTGCTGGAGCCCACATGCTTGTTCCTCATTCGTGATCACAGTCACCAAAGTGTTAATGACTTTCTCGTCTAACGCTGACATAGCTTTGTTTGGCGCCTTCATACGCCTAAGGAACAAAGCGTTCCACTTCTGTCGTAGATGTAAGAACAATTGGGCCGTCTCAGGATCAAGTTTAAACACTACCCAATCATCAAGTTTAAAAATGGTTCCTTCATGAGATTCGTCAACCTCGGAGTCTGATTCGCTTTCCGGAACAGCTGCAAACGCAGTAACAATATTTTTGTGCACACAAATACATATCATATTATTAAAATATTAAAAAGAAAATATGCCGTACATATATAAAAAATGTTGCTTACCTTCGGCTTCGTAGATTACATCCATCGGTAATCTAGCTGGTCCACTAAATAACGCTACAGTTAATGGATTTACGAGGGTAACAACTTTCACGTGACAGAAACGTCCTGTACGGCTCATCTCTTCGTAAAGTAGCCAATCGCACGGCAAAGATTGCACGTTAGTTGCATGCGTTTGTGCGGACGTCATCCTCGGAGACTTTGGATAATCTCTCAAAGTTGATGAGGGATGGAAGAATACTTTCACCTCTTTCCTGTAATAAAACATTGTCAATAACAATGTTGCACATCTACATATCAACCAAATATTTTAATCATAACTTTACGTACTGCGTTCGTAACTGCATGTGCTCTCGATCAACTCGAATTAAGTTGGGATACAAGCCCGCGGTCAGGGCTGCTTTCACGACAGCCCAATTTTCCGAATTTGAATTTAAGTCCCGAATGTCCCCGGGACTTCTGGCTCGAACGAAGCCGGATGCGCGTAATTGACCGAGAAGCTGCGTACGCATTCCAACTACCATTTCCATCACGGGAGCGGAGATGAAATTTTTCTCGCAAAAAGCACGTTCCTTGCCGGTCGCTCTGGCATTCTGCCAGCCTTGGAATGCTCGCAAAACCACCATATGATCCGAGAATGTTCCGGTAGCAAATTTTTTTCGCGCGGCAGTCAAGGCTCTCTTTTGTGACGGTTGTGACGGTAATATAAAGGGGTCTCTACAATAATTTGTTTCATAAAAACGTTTGTGTATAATAATTCATAATGCTGTATGTATCTAAATATATACTCACTTGTATGCTAAACTACAAACAATCGTTAAAATGGGATCCAAACATTTTAAAACGACGGCATACAACAACATCTTTCCGAGTCTTGGTTCAATTGGTAAATCTAGTAAATGACTCCCTAATTCAGTAAGATCTTCCCACGGATCTAACGCGTCGATTGTTTTTAACAATTGAACCGCGTTCCTCGTTACTACATTAGATGGCGGCTCCAAAGCTTTATCTAAAAATTCAGCTATAGGCGTATTTCCCGAAGTTAAATGTTTCGTGTATAAGCAGAGTTCTTGCAGAGGTAGTCGTAGAATTTCAGGTGTCTGATAAGACTGCATGTTGTCGAATCGAACCGAAGAGAATAAACGATAGCAGATTCCTCTTCTGCATCTGCCCGCTCTACCTTTTCGTTGCTTCGCACAAGCTTGAGATATCCAGTTGGAAGTCAGAGTACATACACCAGATATAGCATCGAAGGACTTCTCTTTAACTTTTCCTGAATCAATAACGTATACAACATCGTCAATTGTGATGCTGGTCTCAGCTATGTTTGTAGAAAGAATGATTTTTCGCGTGCCTTGAGGACTCGATTTAAACACCTTCTTTTGATCACAAGTCTGCATATTCGAATGAAGAACGTACAAATTGTAACGTAAACCCTGATTCATCTTCTTATCTTCCGCACTGATTCTTTCTCTCATAGTAACTATGTCATCGTATCCTGGTAGAAATATTAAGATAGAACCAGGAGGCATTTTTATATGGACGTATAAAATCAATTCCAACAACAGGTCATAATCGATATTGTCATCGTTAAACGTATGATGATATATATCGAGCAATAACTTATCTTCTTCGGAAAGCGTCGTATCCGCGACGTGTGCCAATTCATTATTCGGTACTGCACAATCGTAAGTTTTCATATAAGCTTCGATTAATTCGGCACATTCCGTATGGTTTCTGCTCTTTGCCCAATCTAACGCCGACCAATCGTTGGCGGATCTCAAATTAAGATTTGCACCTAAATTTAAAAGTTGTTCGGTCGTGTTTATGCAGCCTCTAGCTGCGGCAGCCATCAATGGTGTTATAGAAGTCTCTGAATGCTGATAATCTACAGAAACGTTTTCGGATAGTATAAAATGTAAAAGTTGTGCAAAATTATCTTCTCTACCGTTTACCCATGCGTCGAAAATACTTTTGTCCATTTCTTCTACCAGCCAAGGTTCTAGTTTAACTTTCTCAGGTATAGGATCATTTTGTTGAGCTAAAATTGGAGCAGGCAGTAAACTTTTCTCGCTTTTTGTATTTCTGTTGGAATGCTGGGGCTTATATTGCTTCCAAGATTCTAAAGTCTTTTGTTTATCTTTCCACTTTAAAAACTCTTTTTTCTTTGCAAGCATTTCCTTAGACATGTAACCAGTCATCTTCAAAACGTCCTCTAGGAAGTATACATCTACGTCGTATGAACGACCGGGAACATTGATGACGACACATTTATTGAAATACTTGGCAAAGATTGAAGTATCCATCGTGGCGCTCATAAGTATAAGTTTCAAGGAACGATATTTAACCAAAGCATCCTTTAAAGCTATCAGAAGGAAATCGCAAAATCTATCTCGTTCATGAACTTCATCGACGATGATGTGCGTGAGCGTAGTCAAAGCGGAATCACCGCCCATTAAAGTTCTGAGCAACACTCCATTTGTACAGTATGTTAGGAGAGTTTTAGGAGCTACTCTACTTTCCAGTCTTATTTGATATCCAAATGTCTGGCCGATTTTCTCGTCTCTTTCGAACGCTACTCTTTCGGCCACGGATACCGCAGACAACCGCCTAGGTTGTGTACAAATAATTCTACAAGCTTGATGCTTCTGCTGATAATGTTCTAATATATACTGTGGCACTTGTGTTGTTTTGCCACATCCCGTTTCACCTGCAATTATGACTACTTGATGATTGCTCAGGCCATTGAGAATTTCCTCCCTCGCATTAAAAATTGGCAGAGATTTGCGAAAGTGTAGCACATCGAAATTAGTTTTCAATTGAGGTACTTGTGGTATGCTGTTGTTTAATCTGCCCATCGCTTTTGTATTTGTATTTACTGCAACAGTGAAAGCATTTTTTTCTCAAAAACCAATTTAATCAGATATCTATAAAGTAGATTAATAATCGCAATAAAAAAAAATACAAACAACAGATATGAAAATAATTGATATATTTACAATCTTAATTACATACCATCATTATTAAGAGGACGTTCTCTTTCAATTGGAGGAAGTAAATCTTGGCATTCTTTGTGATTTAATGGAAAGGTCTGCATCAAATTGTATATACTCTGCTTCGAATGTTTCTGCAATTTTATCACAGCATCTGCTTGGACTATCGTTGAGCCTTCTCTCTTATACACTGTCAAAAACCGATTTGTACCTTTCCTATAGAATGAACAATATTAGAATAAGTTTTAAAATTTAAAAAAGCATTATATATTCTTCTCATTTAAATGTACCCTCGGCTCTTTGACTTGAGACCAAGTTCTCTAGCCAATTCATGAATGTACGCTCGCTCTTCTGCTGTGTACGATGATGGAAATTCTAACTCCTTTTGATCCGGAGAATCCAAACAACTTTTTTTAAGTCAAATTCACTGCAATTCGAGTATCCTCCCCTATGGGACGATGTCTCTGCTGTTTCCTTCGTGGCATAGCGGATGCTTAAATCGCTTGTTTTCAACAAGTAACACTGATAACAATCAAGGCAGCTCGACTTAGCATCAATTCACACATACATAACTTTCAAATCTAGCGTGAATTGCAAAGTTTACAAGATTAAACAGCGTTCTCGTATTTCGCGTATTTAAATAAAATTCAATTCTGCAATAAAAAAAGTCAATTCTGCAAAATACGCAAGAATAAAAATCTCGCGATGATCAACTAGCTTGACACGCGAAATCAGATCCTCCGAAGAAGTTTCACGCTCCGAAGATTGAGAAAATCAGACGATCGCCGGGCGCATTGCCATCCGTTTTTCTTCTCCTCCCTCCCTTTGCAAGAAATAAACAAAGAAGACAAATAACAAAGAAGAGCAGGAACGAATCCGCCTTGGATTACATTCCAAACATTCCAACTTTACTTGAGCAGAGTAATTTAATTGATCAATCAGAACGAAAAGAGGGAGGATTTGGTTTTGACTGGATCAATTAAATGCTACTCTAGCTATCAAATAAAATTTTGGAACATAGCCCTACCCCTACGATGATTTACCGATTTGGAGCAACAAACGTCGAAGGTCATGAATCTTACTCCGATGTGACCTGCTCACTCGTCAGTGACGCGTTTACGTTTGCGAAACGGAATTACGCTCGCTCGCGTTGCGTTACGTATCCCCCCCGTTCGTCACTACAAGAGGAAAATTCGTCCACGACAACACGATCGAAAATATATCACCGCTATACCGCACGAGAAGTGACCGCTGTTCAACGGCGAGATGATATTTAAGTCCGGTCGCCAACACCACCTATACCTGCGCGACAGCATACGTTCAATCCCGGGATGCTCCGCGGATAAGAGATCGACATGTGAAAAGCTCACTGTAATTAAAGGTCGAAAATAAACTTTTCAGACAAGATACCATCTTCGATTTTCCGCTTATCTCGATCGTACGAAATTTACGAATTTTTGCGGAACGCAAAATCTTTTCTCGCATGCGCGCGTTCTGCATTCATATTCTCGCAGCTCCTGAGCGCGGGGGCGCGGGACATGAGCTATATCGCGCGGCAGCGACGCCGGCGTCGCTGGCGTCGTGACGTCGACAGTGCGCAGCGCGGAGTACCGCCGTTTGACAGCTCGATCGCGGTGCGCGAACATACGTGCGTGCGTACGTACCATACGTGTTCTCCCGCGAGTGCATCGCATCCTACGCGTCTGTCTCCTCTCGTTCGCGATCGCCCGGTGTGTGTGTGTGTGCGTGTGCGTGTGTGTGTATGTATATGTATGTATGTATGTGGACTAGCTCCACGATCGGGACAGCACCGAGAGAGCGGCCGCGAGGAAGATCTACCGGGTGAGGCGTCGGAGTCGTCTCCCGGGTCGTTGCCCCGCCAAACCGGTGACGGCTATGTCGTGGCGACGCGGTTCTTCTTGGGCTCGCCGGCACTCGCGCTGGTGCCTGGTCGCGGTGCGTCGCGGTCGGTTGTGATGTGCCTAAAAGCGGACGCGGCTACGCGCGGTCGACGTGCGTGGAAATGACATTCGTACGTCCCTCGTGGAGTTCTTACGGTTGAGAGCACCGCGCGACACCCACGAGAGCAAAAGAGAGAAAGAGAGAGGCAGTGAGGGAGGGAGGGAGGAATAGAAGGAGGATAGAAGAAGCGGCGGAAAGAGGAGAGGGAGCGAAAGAGAGAGAAACGTTCTTCCTTCCGTCGGCCCCGACGACGGTGTCCGCGGCAGCGGCGGCGACGATCGCGCGCGAGAAAGAAACAGAAGGTCGCCGGCCGATCGATGTTTTATTTGTGATGGGAGTGCCTGCGCGGGGAGCACTCGCGGCGATCGTGGCGGTAACCGCGCTCGCCGTGTACCTAAACAGCCTCGGCTGCGGCTTCGTCTTCGATGACATCTCAGCGATCAAAGACAACCGTGACCTCAGGCCTCACACGCCCCTCAAGAATGTCTTCTACAACGACTTCTGGGGCACCCCGAT